CATTGAGGATAAAGATCTGGCCACAGGCTGAGTCTGTAAATTGTATAGATCTGGTTTCAGAACACTGAACCTTAGCGTTTCCTCAAGTTTTTTTTTTTTAATGGGACAAAGTTTTATAGCAGCCCAGAATTGGTAGTAGCAGTTGTTATTAAATGTATAAGTCATCAAAAGGGAAAGAATTTTGCCTTTCCTGAATTATATGAGAAAGGCAACCGAAGAAAGATGTAATCTGCAGTGACATATAATTATGTAAATCAGTGACTGTAATAGTCTGGGCTAGATGTAGAACATTCATGAATGCTTCAAGCCTGGACTACATTATGGAGATGTCAGCTATGTTCCTAAGAACATGTCCGCCACAGATCCAGTCATCTCTAACTGGATACTGGCTGGGGAATTCTGGGAGTTGAAGCCTAAATTGGAGAAACACTCACTATATTCTTCCAATTAGGAATGGTCACTTAACACAGCAATCTATGATGATTAGTAGTGAAAGAAAATAAATGATAGGAAAAATGAAATAGTGCTTTGAAAAGGAGCTATGCCCTCCTTCTAATATTATAATTCCCACAATAATAAATATTATCATTTGCAGCCATTCAACTCATAATAAATTTGTATGTTTCCAAAGTTGTTTTGTTTTTTCAGTGAAATTTAGGGTATCACCGATATTCTTATTTTTGCTACAGAAGTGAAATGCTTTTCAAACTATACCGTAAAAGAATTGTTTTGTGTTTTTACAGAGCAATGCTGATGACTGCATGTGACTTATCGGCAATAACAAAACCATGGCCAGTGCAGCAGCGGGTAAGTATCTACCAAAAACCTGATCAGATTCCTTATTTCCCTGAACATACTGTTCCTGCTATTCCTCCCATCTGAATCCGCTGTGCATTTGGCACAGATATTAATTGCTGCTTAGCAGATTATTGTACCAACTGACATTGCAATGAAATGTGACCCATTAAAACAGAGTAAAAATTATTAGAAAGGCAGCATTAAAAAGATTGCATAATTTGTCTCTCTCTCTTTCTTTCTCTCCCTCTCTTCCTTTATTTATCATCTGCCCTTTTGTTTTAGAGTTTAAGGTGACTCTAAGCTTGCCCCTTATTTTTAAACCAGAAAACCCTAGGGTGCCATTGGAGTTCAGAGAAAATGGCTAGTAAAAGTCAGGGAGCTCCATAATCATATGGAGACATGAACTTAATTCTCACAACCAATATCTTAACTACTATGATACACTAAATACAAAGTTCATTATCTATGGCTTACGTTTACTGAAAAAGGTAGCAGGCATATATTTTCCTTCATGCAGATTGCTGAACTTGTAGCTGCAGAATTCTTTGACCAAGGAGATAAAGAAAGAAAAGAACTCAACATTGAACCCACAGTAAGTTGAAGCACAACATTTTAAGATTGTTTTGTTCTAGAAATTTATTTTATACAGCATTTTTATTATTTCAGGCAGAATCAAATATTTCTATCAAATATAGTTAGAATTCTTTTTCTTTTACCAATAATGGACAATATTTGTAACTCAGTGTTGAACTGAGGGGTTGAAAAAAAGCATCGATGATTTTATCATTGGGTAATTAAATGAAAATAGCAAGCTCAGGGAGCATCAAGGACCCCTCTTTATCCTTTATTGCAATCCGATCAGCTTATTACTGAATCATGAAATGTCTAAATGTCTAAACCTTAACAGCAACAAAACCCCAAGCTTTCAATTGTTTGTATGTACTGTATGTGTTAATGCCCTCCAAACAGTGATCACCATCATGTTTCAAACTAGCATTTATGGGGTCGATGAAGTTCATTTCAGATATACATAAAAGCCATTTGATTTCTCAGTGGTTGATTATTTAACAATTAGAGCCTGTAATTAAATATACAGTATGGTCCATCTGCCTTGAAAAATTAAACTGAAAAGAAAAACTGAATCTGTGATATTGAATTTGTGCTTTATTTTCTATAGGATGTAACTAGCCATTTCATATGGCAATTGTAAAATTAGAATAAGACGTATGTAGAATGAACCTGAAAATCAGAGTTATGAACTTAGCTAGCAATTCCAAGATTTATGCTTTCCAGAGAATATGCTCTATGTGCACATTAAAGGAAGTCACCAGAATTATTGAGTTATTATAATGAGAATACTCTGAGATAGAATATTGATATGAAATGTATTTTCTATAAAAGGGATTTTTGGGGTTTGGGGGGATGATCTGAATATATGCCCCACAATTTGAAAATACATGTGTGTCTGTTTTTTTATTATAAATCAGTCAGTGTTAACTTTAAGCCATATGAAAAATGATCTGATGAGACCAAAGACAAGATGAAGTCACATTTAAGTGCATATTTCCATTTACATTGATTTTTTTTCATGGGATTTTGACCTGGTTCATTTAGAGTCTCCATTAACAATATTATGGTAGCATTAATGGATTGTACCACTCCAGTAAAATTCCTACTTTGCAATTAAAGAAATTAGGGATCAACAAAACTGGCTTATCAATGACTATATAGGTTACTGAGACTGAACTGGGATTTCAATGCAGACCAACATCTCCTGGCTGAAAAGGACAAGGTGATGGACACGGTCATATTTGAATGTTCTAGAACTATTCTTATTCCAATATTTGTATTTTTTCCCCCCAGGATTTAATGAACAGAGAAAAGAAAAACAAAATTCCCAGCATGCAAGTTGGATTTATTGATGCTATCTGCTTACAGCTTTATGAGGTATTCTGTATGACACTGTCAAAGGCCGTAATCATTTTTATCAGGGTTATCTGCAAGTACTGAATTAAAAACTGTATTTTATGTTTAAAAAGGTTTAGGTGTAAGCAGATGACAGTAATTATCTGTTGAGATGAAGGCTTCAAAATCTTAAAAGCATATTTCAAAGAAGTTTACTTTATTTCAAAGTGTACAGCTAGACAACACTGTTTTCAGGGCCTAATTTATTCCTTACAAGCACTGAGAGACAGAGGCTTTCTCCTAAGACTTGATTCTCTTTCCATTAATTTAATTCATGTTTCTGTTTTTGCAGGCATTAACCTACATATCGGAAGCCTGTTACCCTTTGCTTGAGGGCTGCAGGAAGAACCGGCAGAAATGGCAAGCTTTAGCTGAAGAGCAGGAAAATAACTTGATGATTGGAGAAAGCAATCAGCCCAAACGGAACTGAAATAGACATTCATTAGGACATTTGGTTTACAAAGAAGATATTTATATATAATAATGTTTTATTAGACACTGTGTGAAATATGTGCATAATTTGCCACTGCTGTATTTTAAATAACAAGAAATGTATATTTTTGCACAGCACTCAAGAACACAATATGAATTATTTTTATGTAGTCTAATGTATCATAATTGTATATTTCCAATCGATCTGTAACTAGCAGATCTAGTTAGCCCTGGTCATTTAGATAGTGGTATGGAAGTGGACAGTTTTTAGGACTGCTTCAGAAAATTCTTGGTACTGAGTTGTATATAGTTATTTAATTTTGGTCAGTGGCCAGTACTTTAAAAAAATACTGTATGTGGCACTTTCTGGTTTATTTTTTTTTATATAGTGCCTCTTCTTAAATGTAAATAATAAAAAAAATAGTGTTGCATTTGAAAGCTAGAAGTTACCAGAGAAGCAAGTGGGTAGCATTTGCTTGGTGTGGGAGAGGAACAGAGCACTGAATTAATATTGCTTGTTCTAAGAAATCTGTTTTTTTCAGGGTGAGGCATGTTGAGCTCAAATACAAGTCTCAAGGGAATATGCTGCATCTGTGACTTTTCCTGTCATGGGAATGCTTGAGTTTTACTCATTATGTTGTAGCAGCTGAGGAAGATCTGCAAATGAAATTGTCCAGAGTTCCTTAATAATAATGAAAAGTTTAAGAAATATATAATTAAAATAGAACTACTTAAAACTATAAGAGTACTTAAGTTGTGAAAAAGCTGGAAACGGGGCATGTAGACAGAAAGAAAAAAAAAGATGAAAATGATATTCAGTATATTAGAATCAACATATGATCCTGTTTAAAATATTAAATAGTAAATAGAGAAACCCATGAAATCAATAGGCTACACTATGAAAAAGCCAGGGTTCATTTTAAAATGGAATAATTGCTTTGGGTATCATAAAACAGTACCAACAACATCAGAAAGTCATAGCCAGTGCTACTTAAAAATAGCTTCATTTTTTTTTTTAAGGAGTGGCTTTTCAAATGAAAGAATGCTCTAGAATTTCATAAGACTGAATTTCATGAAGCACAATCAGAGTTTGTAAACAATATGGAATTGCCAAAAGCATTTAAGAAACTCTGTCAAAAGTAACTTTAAAGAAAGTTAAAGAATGCTATGACAGGGAATGGCCTAGGATAGAACAAATCCTGCTGGCAGTCAAAAACAATGTCCAGGATTACCAGCTGTCAGACAAAAAGAGGACATGTCCTTTTTGTCCTTATGTCCTCTGGTTGGATGACATAGCTTTAAAATCAAATATTGTCCAGTTTTTGTTTTTGAGTATGTAACAAGCTGCTTCTCTTTTCTCAATGGCACAGCATTTTCCTAATGCTAAATGCAAGTGAACAAGGTCAGCTCCATGACCTTAATTAGCACCTTCCCTCAGTTCTATGCAACTGCCTCAAACTGACAAGACCTTAATCAGTTACAGGTAGTCTTCAACTTACAACCACAACTGGGATTTCAATTTCTGTCACTAAGCAATGTGAGGGTTAAGTGAATCATGCCACATTTTACAGTCTTTTTTGCCACAGTTGCTGAATGAATCACACGCCCATTGGTTTTGCTTGTCAGAAGCCCCCCGGGATGGTTGCAAATGAGGACCATGTGACTTTGAGATGCTGCAGCTTTCATAAATACATGTCCAGCTGCCAGCTAAGCACCCCAATTTTCATCATTTGGCCATGGGGGATGCTGTGATGGTCATAAATATAAGGACTTGTCATAAATCATTTTTTCAGCATAACTTTAACAACTGGTTGTTAAACTTTTTTGTCAGTTTTTTACTGTAATTTTTGTTGCGGATGCCAAGAAGGATAACCAGTGTGTCTTCCTTTGCCTGTTCAGATATCTGGTAATCCTAACCATGTATAAAACAATATTTGGATTGCCAGAACTATTTGTCCATATTAATTATTAATGTATGTGGTTTTCTTTTGCCGCAGTACTACTAGAAGTTAAAAAGAAAACACATATCTTTTTTAAATTTTTGGTAAATATAAGAACATTTGCACTTTTTTGTTTTTATTTTGGTACTACGGTCAGGCTTATAGTTAGGGCAACAGTTTAATTTATTAATGAGGTAAAAGCTATCCTCTGGTTTCTCTCAAGATTATTGTATCCTTATATCTTTAGAGAAGCAAAAGGAGCTCATCTTAAAGAAACAGGAGCTTTATTTATTAGGTGCTTCTGGGAAAGGTTTTCTTATTAGCTCTCATGCTAAGAGCTTATTTATGAGACTCTGAACCTGAATTATCTTCGGGATGGTGGTACAAATCAGGTCAGTTAGCATGAGTATGTTTTTATTGTGTGCAATAAAAAGCATTATGAAATCTGATTTCCATTCTGGAACTCAAAGCTAGCTTTTCTGTAGGGTTGGGTAATGGTGAGGTTATTACAGGCTTTATTGTTTGCAACATTTTAAAGTCCCCAATTAGTCAAATGAAAACACTCAACTTTGCTTCCCTAACCACCGAACAATATATATTCACTAAATTTTTCACTCCTACTCATACATTTGATAAAAATGTTAGCTACCATTTGATTGATCTTTTTACAAAAGCTTATTTGTATCATTTCTGATAAATCAATGCAGTTTCATTAGTCCCTGGAACCCGGCAGTATGAAGCTAAGCAGGCTATACCCGTGCTGTTCTCAGATCAGTAATATACTACAAACATTTCTTCGAAGTAGAATAATTTCACACCACTGAGGCTTCTCTGTGACATGGTAATTTTAATGAGACTGATTTGCTTTCCTATTTAAGGGTAAATGATCTGAAATTTGTGGTGTCCCTTCTAGGAATACTAAAACAGATTAAAATCCTACTTCCATATTTAAGCGGGGAAAGCTAACTGAATAGTTAAAAGTAATATATTAATATATGAGGTTAATTAATATATGAGGTTATTAATTAATTAGTATATTAATATGTGTGGTTATTAATATATTGAGGTTAATATATTAAGTTAATACAATCTAACAAATGGAGTTTAATATAAAAATCTCAACAAATTCCTTAAATTCTTACAATCACTAATATGGATAGCACACCACTATTTAACTATAAATCTTAAGTGTGGTAGACTCTCCTTAACTATGTTGTAATTTGCATGATTGAAAGGAAAACCCATTACTAACATTTTGTAGGGTAAGTACAAATCAGCTTAAGAAAGACAGATTATATATAAACAAAGAATTTACAGAATTCATTTTTGAGAAACTGGAGTCAAACAATACTATTTTGTCTGAAATAAATACGACTTAAATAGACATATTGAAATAAAGCATTAAGATATGTCTCTTCTAATTTATATGACATAATCAATTTAATGAAAGTTTTAATAAAGTTATTAAAGATCCAGGAATATTTTTTTCATAGGAACATAGTTCTATTTACTAAAAAGAAAGACCAAATTATTTTAATATATCACTATTTTATGAAGTCTATCATATGTATTGTTCCTTCAGTTTCACGTTCATAAATTAAAGCATACATTTTAAAAGGATTAAATTTAAAACCAAACTAATTTCTGTTGAATCCTGAAGGAAAATTAGATCAGTGATTGATAAAAGTTCATGGATTTTTAGACTTGTGCAATTTAAGTACACAATATATGTGAAGCTTATCAATGAAATGTGGAATATGTCGAAGTTTCCAAAGCTACTTCCAACCTTAAAAAAAAAACAGGTTCTCAATTTAAGATAATTGGATTTTGGGATGTTAATTTCCCAAAACATTGACCATCCATTTTCAAACTAACTTTTTGAGGCTAATGATGTTCATTTCAGATATACAAGTACATAATTTGACTTCTCAATAGCTGATTATTCAGCATTAATAACCTTAATGTGCGATTAAATGTGTTTTTTCTCCTTTGAAAAATTGCAGTGAAAAGAAACCTGAATCTAAGATATTATTTTTTTCTGCCTTTTCCATAAATTTAAGTAGCCATTTATAACACAATTATACAACAAAAATAGGATAACCTGAAAATAAGAGTTATAACTTAGCTAACATTATCAAGTTTAGGATAAATGTAGCAATTCAGTATCATCGGCCATATTTGATATAAACTCTGGGCAATACAGTATTCTTGACTTTCATAAAACTCACCCAAATTTTTGGTGGAGTTATGGAGCCTTGTTCATTCCAATCAGATTAAAATTATATTTTACCTTTTTCTGTAAAAACTGGAGATACTGTGGATGTTATCTCCATCGCTGTATCCTCCTATAAGCCGTATTATGTAAACAGGCCGATGAACATGTAACCTCCAATCCATTCCCTCAACTTTTACTCGCCTTTTATATGTAGAATGAGAAGAATAGCAGGAAATAGAAATGAAATGATATCAATTTTTCCCTTGATTTAGAATTCTGATTTTTCATATTTCTCTAAATCACTGGGACATTTTCCATGGACAAACATCCAGCGTGAGCTGAAGGCAAAGAAAATAGAGGAGGCAATACTGCTAAGTTTGCCCTAATTTTCTCTCCTTGCATGTAGAATGTGTTTAGCATTATGACTGAAGAGCACACATCCCTAGAATACAGTAAGAACACTCATGATTTTGAGATGAATTTCTTTTATAGAAATTGTTTATACATCACCTGCTGTACTAATAGGGTTCTGCTTTTTTCTGCTTTGAACGAATACAATGTGTGTGTGTGTTTCTGAACACATTACTTTTTTTACCTATTTGTTGTTAACTTCTAAAAGCTTATTTATCTTTGAAAGATTACACAAAGTTTAGATCTCTCACTTACTTCAGTTACAAATATTTTTTTATTTAAGGTAGCTAAGAGACCTAGGAAATATAATATGCTATTAAATCATTTTCTCTTAAGTTGCTATTCAGTTGAGTTATTTATTTTTGTTCATTATTACTTCACTTTCCCAATTTTAAATACTGTAACAAAACAAGGTGAAAGTACTGAAGGGTAAAATATACATACAAGTACTGGTAATCTTCGACTTGTGACTACAATTGGGCCTGGAATGTCCATTGCTAAGGAATATAGTTGTTAATTGGACCATGCCTATTTCACATATTGTTTTGCCACAATTGTTAAGCGAATTACCATGGTGAATCATGCTTTCATGAAGCAAACTCAACTTTGCCTATTGACTTTGCTTGTTGTAATCCCCTGGGACATTGTAATGGTTGTAAGTGTGAGGATTGGCCATAAGTGACCCTTTTCAGTACCTCTATGACTTTGAACGGTCATTAAATGAATGGTCATAAGGCAAGGGCTATCTATGTACATTAAGTACTTCTTTAAAACACATGGTTATTATGCTGATACATACTAATTCTCAAGCTCTAAAGAAAGCATATCAAATGACTAGTATTTCTGAAGTCCTATATTCTTAAAAATAATTTCTCAATTTGTGGTTTAAAAATATAAATAAATGTATATTTCAGTGCCTAAATGTACAAAATACCCTTTAAAATTTTGCTTGGTTATCCTTGCATTAAATTTCTTGGCAAATCTGAATAATATTTTTTCCTGTATGCTAAAATATTGCAATGAATTTTGAGCCATCCTAACCGTACCATTATTACATTCAAGAGAGAGAGAAAATGAAGAATGGAATACATAATTAAACTAAATAGGATATGTCAGGAATGAATCAACATAGCTTCTTGCCAGTTCTATCTTTTGAAGGGACAGGGTGGTGGTTGTTTTGCTAATGCAACATATACAAACTAGCAAGCCTTTGAGCAGCTTCCATGATTTTCCTCTCAGACCTAAAGCAACCATTTCTGCTACAGGATTTGTGGAAAATTCTAGGCCAAATACAAGGAACATGCACTTCATTTGGTAAGCCAACATTACCAAGAATACTATGAGGTAAAATCAAGTGGGCTAGGTCAGGACACCATTCTCCATTCTGGGGCCTTGTTAGGAGGATGGGGTTTTGTGGAGTTTCAATTTCAGCATATCTGGAGGATGCCATGTTGAAAAAGAATGACCATATTACTTCCTTTTGTTCCAGGTTGAGATAATGCCTAACAGCATAAATCATTCCTAGTTTTTTGTGAGGATAAAATAGGCAGTAGCCCATGCATGTAACCTGGAATGTGTTGGAAGAAAGATGGGAGGTTTTGTAGAACTGGAAATTCAAAGTGAAGCACAGCAGGAACTTCCACCATTTGTAGAAGGTCTGGTAGGTGAATACATAGACTGGCCATTTCCATTTCAAATCTACAAAATTTCATCAACATAATTAGCTTGATATCTTAGGTTTTTCTATAAACTGTAATACATTATGAGAGATACTGCTTGCTCAGTGGATTTTAAAATATGGCTATGATTTGATAATATCTAATCTAATATGGCATGATAGCTTATGTAATCTCTTCAGGTAATAACATGTTCAGAAAATTGGAAGTATTAAGAGATTTTGGGAAGTTTCCATGTTCATTTTCCATAGCATAGAGATTTCTCACTGCTTCAGAATTCTCTCTATCCTTAGCCTTTTGATCAAAATGTTTAACAGTTCTGAGACAGGATTAACCTTACAATAAGATTAGGGAAGTTCTAAGTAGAACAGTGGGTTTTCAACAGGGGATTCTCTGACTGAATTTCCTTTTTAGCTAATGTGTTTATAGTGGGCCTTGTATGTATCACATTCACCATGTATTTCTTTCACATAGGAAAAGAAATTCTACATCCTACCTAAATAAAAAATATTTCATTCTTTTTCAAAGAACAAGAAAAGTATTAGAAGTTTTAGTTTTATTCATAATTTTGAAAGAGCTGCAACAGGTTTTGAATCAGTCATAAGTGTATACTTTTAATTGGCTAAATCACACTTCAATAAAAGTTAATAGACTAGCCCAAATATTTATTTAATATCTTGATCCAAACATTTCTTTATTATTAGCTGCAGATTACCAAGCATTGCTTAGTGATGATTTTGAAGTTGTCGTTCAAAGTTCATTCTGGAGAGGATGAAAATAAATAGACACTAATACCTCTTAGATAACAGCAATTACTACATATATTGACATTGAAAATGCCTATCAATTTCATACCAACTTAGACTGGTTATATTCAATGAATCTGTTAAAATCAGCTGCACAATACAGCTGTACTCTCATTTGAAACACAACAACATAAAGACAATTCCATACAACAATAAAATTGATGAATGTACTACTATTTGCTCATCTCTATTTAGTGATTCTTCAATTGTGGATGAAACCACACTTTTCCTTCTACCACACTTGAACTTGCAGATTAATTTGCAGGGTCTTGGACAGGTTGCATATCACATACATATGGACATTTGTCCTTCAACAGAAGAAGCCATTGGTTCAGAAGAACAACTAAGAGGCTCCCCTTGTTATTGTTTTTCCTGTGGATTTCGTTCTGCTTCAATGAAGAAATCTGCCAAAAGGTAGGATTGATTCTATATAACATGGAGACAGAAATAATTCTTTAAATTCTTACACTAATTTTAATCAGGCCAGTGCTGGGTTCAGATCCTGGAAGTCATGCCTATGTGCCTTCTTATTCTACCTGCGAATTATGAACTTCAATTCTTTAGAAGATCTTTTGTGGTCAAAATGAAAAGAGTCCAAGAGGCTAGTAGAAGCACAAGATGACAAAAGAAACCCCCGGTAGGATGGAAAAATCCCTCAAGCAACTAAGTGAATTAACTATGTCCAATTGACATGTGGATCAGAAGAGGAGAAGCATCCTTGAAAATAGAATGGTTTTTGCTGAGTGGAATTTGCTGTAAGTAATCAGTTCTCAGCTCATTCATAATGAAGAATGACTACTGCATAACAGTTTAATGGATAGTTCTATTCAGGTTATAAGTAGTTTTAACAGCAATTTATCATGTTGCACTATATACTTATCTAATAATCAAATTTAAAAATATAAATAGCCTGCCTGCCTAGATGCACTTAACACTTCCATTTCTCTTCATACCTTAAGTACTTCTTGGATCTTTCAGCCTTTTCTTTTTGCCTTGTTTCTGTTGTTCCTGCTCCTGCTTCCGTCCCCATTCTTTATTCGGTATTTTCTATAAGTGAAAGATTTACTTTTTAAAAAAAAGAGGCCATGCAAAAACTTCAAATAATTCACACTCCTCTGCTCCCTAATTTATGCAGGTCATTATTTTTTTTTTAAAAAAATGTTTTCTTGGGAAGTATATGATAATCAGTGCTGGATAACATTAAAGAAATTATTTATATATGATAACTCACCTGTTGTTCTAGGTTTTGCTTGCCATCCTCATTTTTATCCTTAAAAAAAAATAGAAAAATAAAATCATTTGTCTCCCCTTTTTATTTCTCAGGGGAAAAAATCTACACAAAACTGCAGATTAGGAGTAGGAAATCTGTGTAGCCTAACCCACCTTGCTGAACATGATCCATGTTGTGGGTATGTTGCTGCCTTCCTCTTAGTGCCCTAAGATATCTAAGGTACCCTAAGATGTTTAAGATGTCTGGCGAGTAAATAACTATTTAATAGAGCAAGTCAAGACCTTTAAATATTTGAGGGTTTTCTTCCAAGCTATAATCACAAATCACTATGTCACTTTAAATGTATAAAAACCAATGTTGGCTTTATAAACCTTTTACTTCTTCAAAGGAGCTCATCATAGACCTGCAGTGCTGAGACCTGAGTCCAGTTCCTTTGGGAAGCTCAGCTGGGCCCTACAGGTCATTCCTTCCTTTGGGAAGAGTTCAGTCCAAGTTTTTGAGAACCATCTTTCAAGTACCTTGCTGAGTTTTAAACACAGTCCTTTGCCTTCTTAGGATTGAAACTTCTGCCTAGATTCACATCTTCTCCTGCTGGCTTATGGACTCCTTCTTATCAGTTGGTTTGGTCCCTTTAATTAGGACCGACAACTTCCAGGGTTCTTGGAGCCAGATGATACACACTAAATTGCAGCGATTCATCACCTGCCATAATCTTGATGGGCTACAAACATGCACTAACTGATCTCAAACAGTGGGCCATTGATGGGCCACTGTTTAGACCACTGGACAGTGGGCCACTCTCCATTTCCTCCCCCAGCCAGCTAGATATCTCAGTTGAGATGGAGCACGGGTATCAAACTCGACCACGTCATGTGACATATCATGACTTTTTTGATTTTGTGAAGCCAGGGTGGGCATGGCCTGCATGTGATGCATCGAGCCCACAGGCCACCTGTTTGACACCCCTGAATAGAGGAATAATTGAATCGCTTTTGTTACTCTCTATTGCACTATCTATCCAGGTGCTTGCCAGAAATTATTATTTGTACTCTTTACTAAATGTCCTGGACATTGCAATCTGTTTTATCTTAAGAATTTATTGTCAAATCAATCAGATTTTATTTCTCTGTCCACAGCCAAGTACTGTTCTGTAGTTTGCATAATATGCCATAGTAAACTCTAATCCTTTATAGATATTTTAAAATATGTTTATTTATTACATGTGTTAGATTTATTGCCCACCCATCTTACCACAGGAGAGCTTTTTAGCTTAATTAACTGTGACCTTTGCATTCTGTTTGCTACTCTGTGACCAAATAAAGATTTGATTGCTTGATTCGCTGCCTTCTTCTAACTTTAAGGGAATCCATGCTATTGAAAACATTCTCAGTCTTAAATTAAGTTTGAAAAGTATATATGCTTCAGACCAGGCATGAATGGATGGACATTGGAGCCGCAGAAGGCATTTCTGATAACCGGTTTGTCTCTCTTATTCTCTACCTTTGTGCCTTCTGTCTAGTGCTTTTCCCTTCACTGTTTTCTCTCCTTCTCTGCCTTTCTGCATGGTTTTTGTGCATTTTTGCCCTTCTACATTCCTGTCCATCTGCTTCTACTCTCAGCTCCATTTTTCCGACTTTATCTGCATCTTTCTCTTTGTCCTCCCCCCCCCCCCCCCCAAATTATAAATGCTATAGAGGTCGCCCTCTACTGGTGGTAAAATAATCTGCACCAATTTAATTATTTTTCTTACAGGGTAGTATTGGAACTGTGTACTTTTGAGTAATATATTGAGTAAATAATAAATAAATCTAAAGAATAAACTGAAAAAAGGGAAATGTGCCCATCCATTTTGGTTCCTAATTCAACCCACTTTTGGAGTCTGGCTTCTTCCTTTTTTTAAGATTTTTTTTTTCTTGTCTTTTTAAAATTTAACTCAAGATGATGGTGAATATAACTATACTCCTTTCTCCTCCTATTTTCCCCACAATAACAACCTGTGAAAAGGGCTATGGGCTGAGAGTGACTGGCCCAAAGTTACCCAGCAGGTTTTTCAAGCCCAGTTGACTAGAACTAGACTAGAACTCACATTGTTCTGGTTTCTAGGCCAACACCTTAAACCAATACATCAAACTGGCTCCATTTGTGGGGGTGTTTTGTGGCTTTGTGTGGTCACAGAATAGCATGTGAGCCTCTTGGACAAACAAAAAATAAGCATCTTGGTTTCAGGCTTTTGAATACTGAAGAATTTCAGTTGATCTTCTATTCGGTCAAGTGTGGAAGAAAAAGATCTTTTGAAGCAGCCTAGCATTGGCTTGGGAGGCTAGAGAAAAAGAAATCTGTTCATATGATTATGAACAGATTTTACAATAATCACAGCAAGTGCTACTACTACTTACAAATGTGCCGTTTTCACTCTGAAAAAAGAAGGAACAAAAAGTTAGTATTTCATTCAGCACTTCCTTCTAAAAGGAGATCTAGAGCAAAGGTTAAATACATAACAATAAATACTAATTATGTTTAATTGTGTTTAAATTATTTTAATTATGTTTAATTTAACTGAGATGCACATGGATAAGGATCTGGATGACCGAGTTTTGTTATATGGAAAGGAAGATCTTTACTGAGATCCCTTATTTTCATGGTAAAACCTGCTTTCATCTACCCAATTCCACCATATTTAGCAGATCTCAATTCTACTCGGTCCAATAACTGGAGTTATCTAAACAGTTTGTAAATCTGTCAAAGACTAAAGAGAATGAAACAATACAACACTGAAAATAAAATAATACAGCAAGAAATACCACAGGAAGAATACTAAATAAAAGAACATATATAAGCCTCTGTATAAGAATGGCCACCTAATATTTCCTCTTAGGCATCTTAGGTTTTGATCTTATAAATTTGAAATATCAAAGAGGGTCCCAGGAGTGATTTCTGGATAAAGCAGGGGTGTCAAACTCACATCGTCACAGTGTCATCACATGAAGTATCATGGCTTTTCCCCTCTTTGCTAAACTGGGAGTGAGTGTGGCCAGCACATGATACATCCAGCCCATGGGCCATGAGTTTTACAGACCTGGACTAGACTATCCTATATGCACAAGCTTTACACAGATATTAAAAACCTCTTCCACTCAGGAGCATTTAGAGAAAGAAATATAAAATTTACTGAAGTTCTCAAGAAGATTTATATGGAAGGAGACACTCCTTTGGAATCTATATTCTGAAAGTATTTGTGCAATGCCCATCCATCAAAAGGAGTATGTGCTCCCAAGAGCTTGTTCACCAACAAGAATAGGGAGGTGACTTTCCACAGCAATTCGATGTAGACTGTGTTCTCTCATTCTGCTCTGTTTCAGTGAACACTTAGTTCTACAGAATACAGTCCTGAAATGTACAGTATAAGGAGCTGCTGGTTGAAGGATTCATCCTGCCAATGTACTGGATTAAAAACGATTTATAGATAGAAGCCTTTTTCAGTAGTAAAGTTATTTTTTAGCAGAAACTCACATTTTTCTTTTTATCTTTTTCTTCATAGCCCTGTAGAAGAGGGATATTCTGAATGTCTTAATTTCCGAGAACAGTATAACACAGTATGAAAGTCTAATATCTGGCTGTTGCTTTGCGCTCCAAGCTTGGCAATTTGGTTGCAAACGTTTTGTTACCATTTGAGGAGACATTGTCAGTGTGTTTTGAATTGTGTTTGTCTGATGGGCACAACTCAAAACACACTGACGATGTCTCCTTGAATGGTGACAAAACGTTTACAACTAAATTGCTAATCTCAGGGTTCAAACCAGCAGCCTAATTACCAACCCAAGCTATTGATATTCAAACACATTTGAACAATATCAATCAAGATGTTTATGATCTTATCAAATTCAGCAACATTGCATTGCAAGTTACTTAATCTTATCTTGAAACTTTCTGTAGCTAAAATCAATTCTCTGCACAGCCAAAATCAATGTAAATTCGACCCATTTACACCAACTTTCTATGAAACAGGGTTAATTGAAAATGATTACTGTATTTTTATTTCTTTTAGTTAAAAATCAGGTAATTTTGGGCATATGGAGAGTAGCTAAATGACTAAATAATATCTCAGACCCACTCTTTTGTTATGCAATATTAAAGACCATATTGTGGCATAAACATTTGAAAATAAAGGAAGTCACTTACTAGACCAAAGTTCACACTGACTCCTGCCTGGAAGAATGGAAAAGTGGATTATTCTATCTGCTTTATAAACAGAATTTCATGAAAACCCAAAATGTATAAAATATTAACAAGCTCAGTGATTTATTATCCATTTTTTAATATAAATTTTATTTGGGTTTTCACAAAAACATAACACAAATAAAACATCTTTTTTTTTTGAGAATAGCATGATCCCAGGTTATCACTTCTTCATACAGACACAAACTCAATTTCATATTCATCTTTGTTTTCTGTTCCATATTTTATTACTATTTTAACATTTTCTCCATAATTTTTCCCCTCACTTGGTTTTCTCAACTTCATTTTTAATTATCTCATATCTAACTTCAATTATATCTTTTTCTAAGTTTCAATGTCTTTCCAATCATTATATTTATACTTTTGTCTGTCCTGTTTCAATTTCATACTATCTTTTCTCATTAAACAAATTTTCCCCTGTAGTTACTAATTGGAGTATGACACCTTTATATCTTTTAATTTTATCCATTCAGCTTTTATTTAAACTTCAATTTATGCCTTTAAAATTATAACGTTCAATATAGTACATAACTTCCAATCGAATTCTGCTTGTGTTCGGGTATTTTCCCACGTCATTGAAGTTGTGCTTTTAAAGTTGTAGCAACGTTTCGGCAGAATCTCATCTGCCATCATCAGGCTTCTGTATAGTGTATGGGTGAAAATTTAATTGAAAAAGGGACTCTGCAAAGGTGCATCAGATAGTACATGATAGTTATATTAGAAATAATTTTAGAAAATATGAAACAATGTATGATTAAAATGATGGACAAAATACTTATTGTAATGCAGTAGAATGTTTGTTAATAAATAAATGAAATAAAGTGAATGAGAGAATGAAATTAGGAAAGGATGGGAACATTTTTATTATTAATAAAATTATTATTAATGATTTATAAAAATATAAGTGAAGAGAAATATGGAAAAAAAGAATTATGAAAAGTTTATAAGTGTTCACAAGGAAGTATGATATTCAATTGAAAAGAAAAGTTAAAGATGCTAAGATTCTAACTAATATTAATGATAGAATTGAATTGGAATGGAATGAGTGTTTTATTTACTATTGTTGTGTGTGTGTGTGTGTGTATGTATGTGTGTGTATGTATATACAATATATATATATTGTATATACATACACACACACATACAATATATATATATATTCTTAAGTTTTCGCGGGTACTTACATGTATGGTATTCAGCTTTGTTCGGGTATTTTCCCACGTCATTAAATAGGCTTATACTTTCAATCCTTATACGTTTTCCCTGCTTCTCTATAACTCGTTTCTGTCTTTTATAACTTCTTTTCCTTTCCTTCTTCCCCCTCTTCTTCTCCCTCCCCCCTTTGCCCCCTTGTCTCTCTACTTCTAATTCTCTCTTCTGTGATCCTCTCTTCTGTTGCTTCCTAATATTGTAATTATTTTTCAAACTATTCTTTTTTTTGGTTGTTTTTTTCAAATCTTAAACTTTTCACTTTCTTTCCCCCCTTTCCTTTTTCTCCCCACATAAAATTACTTGATCATTAAAGATGGCTTCTTCTTTGTCCCAACCTTCTTTTTCTACAAGTGTTTCTTGTTGTTCGTCATAGTTCCAGATCTCCATTTCTAAAAATTGTGCATCTTCTTGTGCATCTTTTTTCTATTTTTTAAGTTCCATTTTCAGTTCTTCTAAAAGTAATGCCATTTTAAACACTTTTAAACAACCACCCGATTGATTTTAATCATTTAAATCCAATAGCCAAAAATCCAAAAATCACCAAGTAATCTAAATAATCCAAAGCTGTTTCTTCCTGCTTCTTTTCTCCAGTTTCTCTTCCTGGGGTTCTATTATTTTGTTACAAAGTTTCAGTTAGAATGTATCTTTTAGGAATCTTGTTAATGTTTTACTGTAAGTTCCTTTTAGTTCCAGGCAGTCTCCTCCATTTTTCTAGATCCCGCCCTTTTATTCTTTCCTTTTCTCTCCTTTCCTGCTTTTAAAGGTTTTTGAGTATCCAAAAGTCTTTATTATCCCTTTGACAATCAATAGGCTTAAATGCCTATTGATGTCAAAGTGGATTTTTGTCAATTTCTTACTTAAATCTCTTAGCTGTCAGTATAAGGAAAGAAAGAAAAAAAACCAAACCCTTTCCCTTCCCTCTCTCCTTTGCTGCTTCAAAGTCTTCTTTGGGAACAATGTTACTTTTTATAGTTCAAATTCCAGGGTACCTTACATTGTTGCTTTTTCAGTTTAACCCAGTCAACCAAAACTTTCTCTTCTTATCTTCCTCCTGCATATTCTTTTCCAGTCTAGTTCTTCTTTGAAGTGGCCATTTCTGACCACTGCTGCAACCGCCTTTGGGAAAGGGAGTAATGGCCAGCTGAGGAGGAGAGATGCGGCTCTCCTCAGCCCTGCTGCTGGTTTTCCTCCTCTTCACTACCTCTACAGGATGGCTTCACCCCGAATCCAGCCAGCTCAGGGCGCTCCGGCAGTAAGCATGGATCGAAACCGTGCACGATCGCGGATTTCGGTCTGCCACCAAAGAAGTTCAAACCGGACACCCCAGTGATTTATTATCCACTGTAAGACTGTAGCTATTGACTTCCTTCTTCCTGGGGAATTCTCATGCAATTTTGCAATTGAAATAGAACTTCCAGAACTATACTTCTCTATCCTGCTCAATATGGTAATCAAGAGCTTTTATTCTTCTCCTCAGTTTCAGCTGGAGGCAGCTTGATTCTCATCTGTGCTTCCTTAATGAAACTGGAAGATCAGCCAGTTATAATTAAAAAATTAAAAGTCTTCACACCGTTTTAATTTGATATCTCAAACTAGCAAGGTAACATGAATAACGGGAGTGTGTGATATAGTATCTAGCAATAGCTGGCACATTCAGGGTAGATAATTAGAATGGAAGAGATAGTGCAACACCCATCAGAGAAGAAGAAACAGCTATTCAGAGTTACCAGACTCTGAAGGAGTGGAAACAAAATCCTTCCTTTCTTGCTTTCTTCATTCATAGCTAGTGGGCTTGAAAAATATAATTTGGATAGACAACTATAGATATCAATATATCTGTAGACATCTGACGATAAGAGATGAAAACAATCGTAACAGTTATTCCTGGCCTTGAAACTGAAATGGATTTGTCTGACTGAGAAACTGATACACAATAAGAAATGTCTTCTGCTTGTTCTTCCCAGGTGGACGCCTGTACCAAGCAAGCATGGAGATAATTATCACCATATAATGTGGATCTCTCTGAAAAGAGTTCATAAAGAAAAGTCTTCATTTCAGTTCCTTTCTGTCCATTCTTGAGCAAACACGCAGACTGCCCTATGTAATCAAGTATCTTTAAGAATGTCTACACAGTAAAGACTCAAAGGTGATTCCATACAGAATTGCTTAATCTTGATGCACATTTTCTCTTACCCATAACAAGGTATTCCTTGGTCATTCAAGAAAGCATGGAGATATATAGCTTTCCAGATATACTCCGGAGCTATAAATAAAGCTGCCATAAGGATCACAAATCCAATTGCCTGCCTGCTGTTCTTTAGGATATCAGACAAAAGTTTTTAGACTTGAGATCTGAGATCCCTTCTACTGGAATTGTAAAAAATTATACTGGTTATACCTGACATATTTATGCATCATGTAACAGAAAGTTATCAATCATCCAAAACAAGCTCACCACAACTGTAAGTTTCAAACAAATGCTGCCATCACCGGGTTGAAAACCTGAAGTTTTGCAATTCTGACCTACTTTTACAATCTATAATAGGAAAAAAATTAACCAAGATGAATAAAAATACTGGACATTTCAAATTTCATTTTGAGCTTGATTACTACACACATAGGTAGATCTTGACATAAATAAAGTTTTTCTAGTTTTCCAGAGGACAATTCAAATGCTCAGAACTAACAATTAATACCACCTTAGCAGGAGCTTTGGGGCTGCCAAATTTGAAATAAACCTGATGAAAGTTAATTATTGGCTGTATCATATTTTGATATGCTTCATGCAGCTAAAATAATTTATTCTCTATATACATTTTTCCAATATATTTATTGCAAAATAAACTTTATTTTTACAAATTGTACTAGACTATAATTTATTTATTTACAGTAGAGCAGTAAGAACATACCTATGTCACCAGGACCAAACTCATTAAAGGTAGTCATTATTTCATTACAGGAGCCATAGCTTATTGGTTCTTATTGGTTAATAACTTAGCATCACACAATATGCCAAGCTAAAATCCAACAAACCCATTCTACTTTAGTGGTTAAAGTATGCTTCCTTTAAAGTAACCTCACAAAGGGTAGCGGCATCCTCCCAATGACTCTTGCCAGAGTGCCAATACTACTTTCAGTGAGGCAGGGCAGCTGATTAAGGTAGACCAGCCCTACCTTAGCTGTTATCAAGATAGAGTCTTCCCATCATTTCACTGCATAAAAACAGAGAAACCAGCCTTTCAGGAAAAGCATCTCATTAAGATAGTTGCTTGGGATATACACATCTTTAATGGGCATGATTGAAATGGGCAGTATAATACAAGTGCACACATGCAAAAATAGCAAAACAATTTCTTACCGCTTTTCTTAGTCTATCTTTCTCTTTCTAAAAGAATAAAATTAAGAGAGGAAAATGATTGTTTTAGAATTAAAAATAATAATTTTTAAAAATGCAGAATTTGAAGCTCAGCAAGAAAAAAACACAAAATGCTGGTGCAAAATAATAAATTGCTCTCATAATAAGGTTCTTTCCAGAGCTGCTTCCTATTTTGTTGCCAAACTATGCTCAAATAATCTAAAGACAACTACTCTGAATAACACTGTGAATGTTTAAAATTTAAAGCTGAAATGTTGAATGGTATGATAACATTTATACACATTGCCATTTTAGGTCACTTGCCTCTGTTTTTAATGGAACTGCTTCAGAATCCTCCAGCGTCAGAAGACAAAATAAGAAAATACTGGCCAGAAAGCGCACCTTCATTGTGTCCAGATTTTAGAATTTCCACAGCAGGTTTTGGGGATCAAGAATGTCCTGTAAGATCACCCAGTTCTGTATTTCCTACTTATACCCACCACAGAGATGAAAAGGTTGTTACCTACTCTTTTCTATTGAGCCCCCTTACTGATGCCTCATTGCTTGTGAATGTCCTTGTATACATTCTTTTCCTTATCAGTCTTGGCATACATAGCATCTTAAGCAATATCTTTTAGAAGAATTCTAGTGAAGCTTGCTATCTACAGCTTTATCTAAGATCACTGAATTCACCTGTAAAAGCAGCTAGTCTGGAAGTCTACAAATAGATTGTATGAGTACTAATGATGGTTCAAGTGCAGAATGTGAGCATGGAAAGAACGTTTTTGCATTTCGCGAATGGCTACTCCTCTTGCTACCTGATAACTTTGCCACAAGTTGCCAATCATGACAGTTCCTGATTTCCCCACATTATCATGTACTGAAGGCCAATAGAAACACATATATATCAAAAGTATTATGATGGTGTCATGGAACTCATTCCAGCCCCTTTTCCTTATATAACATACAAAACATTCCCAGAAAGAAACAGAACAACTAATTTATAAGGTCAAAGTACCTTATACTTCACTGCAATACAGATGTAGATTAACAGAGTTGGAAGGGACCTTGTAGGTCATCTAGTCCAACCCCCCACCCGAGCAGGACACCCTATACCAAATGGCAGTCCAATCTCTTCTTGAAAGTCTCAAGTGATGAAACACTCACAACTTCCAAAGGCAAGTTTTTCCATTGGTTGATTGTTCTCACTGTCAGAAAGTTTCTCCTTATTTCCAGGTTAAATCTCTCCCTGTTCAGTTTCCATCCATTATTCCTTGTCTGGCTTACAGGTGCTTTAGAAAATAGCTTGACCCCTTCCTCCACTGTGTGGCAGCCCCTCAAATATTGGAAGACCTCTATCATGTCTCCCCTGGTCCTTCTCTTCACTAGACAAGCCAAGCCCAGTTCCTATAACCATTCTTCATATGTTTTAGTCTCCAGTTCCCAATCATCCTGGTTGCTCTTCTCTGCACTTTTTCTAGAGCCTCAACAGTAGGTTGTGGTCTACTTGGTCAAATGCCTTGCTGAAGTCTAAGTATATTATGCTCACAATATTTCACTGGTCTGCTAATTTAGTCACGATGTTGAAGAATGAAATAAGTTGCAGAGGATGGCCTGTTCAGAGAAAGGTTTGAAATCCTTCTGAAGTCTCAGTGTTACTACATATCTTATACATAGAAATATCTAATTCTAAAATAATTACTAATACTAACATGCATTTAAAAAAAACAAGCTTTGAAACAGAGATAGAAAGAGTTAAAAGCCAGACAAGAAAGACTATATCATTCACCCGACACATGACAAATTGTCAAAATATGAATAATCTGGTAAATTAGGTATTATGGCTCCAGAAGGTCATTTAAGTGGGTTCATGAGTCATCATGTGATTAAACCAGGAATCTGGAAATTTCTTAACAAAAAGAATTTCCTACTCTTACAAGACTTGTGAGATGAGACTTGTAGTGAATTCTGTATAAAGATAGCATCTAGATTTTCTTTCAATACATTCTTTTAAAATCTTGACCTATTTACTGGATTGTTGTCCTGCCTTATTTGTGGCTAAAGCATCCAGTACATATATATACCAATAATATATTAAAAAAGAAATCATTGAACTTAAAAAAAATGAAAGCCATAAAATAAAAGAAGACCTGAAAAGATAATTTTTATTTGTGCTATTTAATTCGTACATAAATCATTTTCTCCTTGTTAAGATTCAACTGGCTCACCTTTATGGTTGGTTGCAAAGTTTCATGGTCACATGGCCACGTTTATGACCTTTTTTTGCCAGTTTCCAGCCTTTTTGGTCAGTTTCTGGCAAAAAAAATGCCTATAAGGATTTGCTTAATAAGCATAGTGTTCATTAAATGACCACAGCATTCATTTAACAATCACAATATTTACTTAATGACCGCTGCAATGTCATAAAATCAAGTCTGGTTATGTGGAA